GAAGTTGTGAAACAGAGGACAGACCCTTTGGGACAGATGCCTAGAGGCCTGAACTCTTGCCCTGTCACGGCTCACACCACCTTCTGTATATTGGACAGGTAGCCATGACTGCCTAAGGCCTCCTCTACCACACTGCACAGCTTCCTTCCATGGTTCTTGAATAAGTGGTCTTATCAGAAAATGCCCTGTTTTTAAAATCAGAGATAAGAGGGCAGAATGGGGCAGCTGATCTCCCAATCCACCCTAGCCCTGTAGTTAGCTCAGAAGAAGGACTTCAGCTCTGCCCTCTGCCCAATTCCCCACCCCCTGCTTCCCATCCAGTGCCTGATCCAGCCCAGCAAGCAGTACACGAAAGCTTCCTGGATGAGGCAGCCCTGTCTCAGGAGCTCTCTTGTCTCCAGCAAGTGGCATTTACCTTCACCTGTTAGCCAGGTACCATCTCCTGGCTGAGCCTGACTTTTGGCTTCGATGCCATTTACCTCTTGAGGCCCCACACTTCTGGGACCTGGGCTAGCTCCTTTCTTGGCTCCATCATCCTTGATTCTTGGTCCTGCCTCCGAAGCACCTATCTCCTATGGTTTGCCTCATCTGACTCTCTTAGGATCACAATCTCTGGCCAACATCACATATATATTCAGAGGATCTACTTACTCCTCTGATGTGAGCACTGCCCAGCCTCAGGAGGCAGGACTAGGGTGACATATTACTAGCAAGATCAATCATCCTAACTGGGTTTTGACTTAAATCAACATCTGTCTCACAAGCGATTTTAATACTGAGCAAGAGGCAGGAATGCAGAGACCATATCTGTAGATTATGGCATTAAGTGTGCAAACTCAAGCATAAATGAAGCAGCCACAAAATTATAGATACCAGCAAGATCTGGATATAAATCTAGAGTTGGCAACCACTCTAAGGCCTCCCAAATCTCCCCTCTACGGCCTCCCAACTCTCCCCTCTACTTAAGGACTATGCCTACAGGCTGGAGAGAGGTATTGAGCATGGTCTCATGTTTGCAGAAGGGTACCTATGTTTGAGCCATGTGAAATATGGGAACGAGCAGCCACTGGATGTTAGGAGTCCTGGATTTAAAACTCAGTTCTATTTCTTGGCCAAAATGCATGACCTAGAAGGGTTGTGAGCCTTCCTGAGCTATAGCATCCCTAAATGAAGGAGTTGGGTTTCACATTGAAAGTTCTTTCATAGCTGTACAACTACAAGACAGAGATGAGGAAAAAAGCATAGTAGAGCTGGTCATAGGCCCCTGGATGAGCTATTTACTCTATTTCTCTTATTTATGAAACGAGGTATGTGATAGTTTTACAGGCCAATTTGGCTAAGCTATGGTATTCAGATATTTGATCAAATACAAACAAATGTCGCTGCAAAGTGTTTTTAAAGGTGAGATTAACACTTACATTAGTACTTTTTGAGTAAAGTAGATCACTCTATATAGGTGGGCCTCATCCAGTCAGTTGAAGGCTTTAAGAGGAAAAGACTGAGACCACCAGAGGAAGAGGGAACTCTGTCCCCAGCTGGCCTTCATCAAGCTGCAACATCAGCCCCTCCCTGGGTCTCCAGTCCTTTCTAATTTTGGATTTGCCAGCTCCACAATAATAGCACATACACACACATCCTACTGGTGCTGCTTCTCTGGACAGCCCTGATTAACGCAATGTGGCCAGATGAAGTCAGTGGTGCTCAAATCTGAGCCCTATGGCTTTTAATCCAGGCTTCACATTAGACACCACAGGAACTATTTAAAAACAGCAGCTTTCAGAGTCTAAATCCAGGCCAGTTGAATTGAACTCTGGAAATGGTGAATGAGCATTAGTGTCTTTAAACACCTCAGGGCCTCCCCACAGCAGCCAGACCCACACTGAGTGCACAGCAGAGTCACTTTGAAGATGATTAAAAGTGCATATTCCCTGGGCCCTTGCAAGCCCTATGAATGAAAACCTCTGGCAAGCTCCTGGCATCCCTAGGATTAACAAGCTCTCAGCAAAAGGGGCAACTGCTCTCACGTTTGAGAGTCCTAGGCCTGCACCAACTCTCAGGGCCCTTTTCATGTTGACAATCTATAGTTCTGTGATCCAGGGCTTGGGGCTAGAGCCTACTGCTTCTTCTCTGGTGGAGGCCACGGACATCACAGCAAGAGAAGCCAAGAGGAACCTAGGATCTGAGAAGAGGATGAGCTCTTTCTAGAGCTCACTGAATCAAAAGGAATCAGTATCCAACCCTATGTCTCCACGAAGGGCGCACTGCTGGTGCCAGGAAGGCCACCTTCACTCCTGCAGAACATGTATGCTGGTGTCCCCAGACCCAGGGCAGGGAGGGGCGGGGCACACAGTAGGTGCTCATGCATTTTTATTGCCTAAGTGAATGTATGACCACACGGTTGCATCATCATGGGGCTCACCTCTATGCAGGTGTCTCTGTGGTATTCAGATATTTGGCCCAACGTGTGGTATTAAGACCTTTTGCCTTGCCTAATTCTTCCCTGCAGTTGGAAAATGACTTTCCTTTGCTTCTTTTCTTGCCTTCCAGTCACTGTCCAGTAGCTAGTAGATGCTCCCTCCCTTTGATAGATCTTCCCTGATTCTTCTCTTCTTTCCACTCTCTCCTCCCTGCACCTGGTGGACTCTGGCATGTCCAGGGAGCTGCCCTATGGTGGTCCTCATCTCTCTTGCTCCCATGTCATTTCCTAGATTACTGGTGGCGAACCCATGGCACTCGTGTTATTGTTTGTTTTTTTCCAGTACCGGGAATCGAACTCACGATCTTGTGCTTGCCAGGCAGGTGCTGTGCCGCTGAGCTAAATCCCTAGCCCCGGCACTCGTGTTATTGTGTTTTTCTGTATGAGTTGTTTTTCATAAACTAAAACCTCAGTATTCGGGTTTAATTGTAACCTTGGCACTTTGCAATAAGTAAGTGGATTTGGGTTGCAGTTTGGCACTCGATCTCTAAAAGGTTCATCATCACTGACCTACACTGTGAGCAGTCAGAGGACGGGCCAAGCATATAGCAAGAAGCTGCAAGAACTTATGGCTCCCACATGCTGAGGAAATCCCAGCTTGCATATGTGGTCTGGATAGCAAGTTTGGCCTCCCTAATTGTTCCTTTACTTGAAGCCCCTACTGTCAGGAACAAGATTCTTTGCTGTTTGTATATCACCTGAACCCTGCTCCTTCCAATGTCAGGGTCATGCTCCTGGCCACTGAGGTGCAAGATTCCCATGGCACTGACTGGAGAAGATAGCTCTTCTCTGTCCCTTTGAAAGGCAAGGATGATGGCAGGATTGAACCAACGGGGTGGGTCAGAAAGATCTGTTCTATTGCACAATAGAGCAACTACAGTTAATATTACATTGTATGTATATTTCAAAAGAACTAGAGAAGATGGTTTGAATGTCTTACCACAGAGAAATGATTAATGTTGGAGGAGATGGATATACTAAATACCCTGATTTGATCATTTCATATGTACTTGCATTTAACATTACACTGTTCCTTGTACATATGCACAATCATTACGAATCAATTAAAAACTGAATAAAACTAAAAAGGGGGGAAAGGTTGTGCCACCTATCACCCAAACAGCAATTTCACCCCAGATCTGCAATGAGATTTTAAATTTGACCTTTTATGAGAAATTATTAAAGACCTTATGTAAAACTAGCAAATGTTCCTGCTCTTCACAGATTTATTAGTTTGGTTAATGTGTTTGAATAAACCCCTCCCCTGGAATATAAAAGGGCCAGAGAGCTAAGCGATTGACAATGGCTTCAGGGAGGTGGAGTCTGGCCCTCCGGGGGATCCGAGGGAAGGGATATCAGGCACTTGCCTGGCCCTTTGTGTACATGCTTTTGCTGAGTCCTGGCAAGAGTCCTGAAACATGAGCTCTTTTCACAGTCGAGGCAGCAGAGGCACACAGAGCTGCAGTAAGTCACCCAAGGCATTAAGGCTCCTGTGTAACGAGGCCACAACCTAAATCCAGGTGACTTTTGGGGCATCAAGGCAGTGTCACAGAGGCAGGAAGGAAATGACCTCCTCAGTTACTTAACGTACTGTGTGACACAGACACTATGTGCCTGGCATTGCTAGGTATGCAGACAACAGTGAACAAAAGTCTCAGGCACAGCAAACTCAGTCTAGTGGATGAAGGATACAGGGTGCTACCCTGCTCGTCCAGGACTGGAGGCAGCAGAAGGAAGAAGAGAAAGGCAGCCTCCATCTCAGTGAAATATCAGCCAAGGGCTTAGCAAAGCTGAACAGAACCTGCCCCATCTCAGCGTGGGACTTGCAACAGGCAAACAGGCAAAGACTAAAGAGGAGAAGGGAGAACCTTGCTCTCTGTGGGACATTTGTGGCAGAACTATTTTTAGGATGGCAGAAGGTGGGAGGTATTTTTGGGATGGGCTGCTCTTCCTATTGCCCCTGAGAACCCCTCCCAATGGGAACCAGAGAAAGGATGCTCATGATGGGGGAGGGGATCAACTGGCCTGCTCTGCAGAGGAGGAAGTCATTCTGGGCTCTGTCCTTGGGCTGGGTCCCCAGAGGTTTGACCCTGGCAGGCACCTAGTTGCCTCCCCTCCATGGCCACTTCCCTTCTGGGACTGGAGCCTGGTCTCCCCCTCCCCCTCCCCCTCCAGGCCACATGCCCATTCTCCCTTCAGGATGACCTGAAAGGGAAGTTTATAAGAGGAAAAGGAATGAAAAGGATCTTATTTAACAGCACATACTGGGCGGAGAAACTTCCTGACAGGAACCGATGTGGAAACCAGGCCCAGTTTGGCCATGGAAAACTGGTTTGGCTCAGAACTGGCCAGAGTGGACAGGAGACCTCGGGAAGCTCTACATCGCAATTAAACTGGCTTTGTCCGAGTTCATTTTCTTTCTTATCCCCTCGACACAGCAGACACTATAATAATCTGCACACCACAGGGGGAGAAAGGTACCATTTTTTTTTTTTTTTTTTTTAAATCTAGAGGAAAAACCCACCTTCCTTTAGGTCACAGACATGGATGGCAAATCAGGAACAGATGTAGGCAGCTGAGCAGGGCCAGGCTGAGCAGAACCGCTGCCACCAGGCACCCAGCCTGAGTCACCCGGGTGGGGCGGGCGGGCGGCAGTGGGCAGGGGTGGTTTATCTTTATTCCTGGGCTTGGTGTCAGGTACAGGAAACAATGCAAACAGAGGAGTCCTTGAGCTGGGAGAGGCATAGGGCTGGAGCAGGTACAGACAGGTTCCTAGCAGGCTGCTCGCTGGGCCCTGAGTTTGAACATGGAGAAGGCCTGTTCCTCTCCCTGCCTTCCTCCCTCCCTCTCCCCACCCTAGGAAACCTCACTGTTGCTTTTACGCAAGGCTAGCCCTGGCTGGCTGGCCAGCTGGTCTCCGCCCTGCTCCCCACCCCCTCTCTTCAAGAGCCAGGTCATGCAGCAAGCTGGCAGGAGAGGGTCTGTGTGGGCGTTTCAGCCCTGCCTAGCTCCCTGGGCTTCTGTGCCACGTTCCTGCGGACTGCCCCATGCCCTCTGTTCAGTTCTCCCTTTGCTCTCATCACTCTGCTTTGTCTCCTTTAGTCTCCAGCTATAATAGAAGCTCCATAGGCTGAAGGCCTTTTCCTGACTCTCAGGCCCGAGCTGGGTAATCATCCTTCACATGGCCTGCTCCAAGATCACCCTCTGCCAGATATTCAGTCATCCCTGAGAGGCTCCTTTATCCTACCTGTGACACGCTCCCTAGATATCCGCTCGCAGGAGCCCGGCCTCATCTCTGGCCCTCCAGCAGTGGCCCGATACATACTAGGGGCTCGGTAGGTGCCTGCTGTGTGAATGGATGAGGACCATGTATGGGCACCACGGGAGGCTCAGAGAGAACAGAGCAGCTTAGATCACCCAGCACCCTGTGGCCCTGCATGCAGACTCTGTACTGGTTTGGGACAGAGTGACCCAATTCTCCCACCCCCTACAACCCTTACCAACATGGAAAAGAGGGAAGAGTAAAGTCATTTTCTCCAAGATGCTTTCTAGGGCCAAGCACAAACAGAATCTTAGCAGTGTTTATCTGGAAGGCCTGCAAACCCTGTAGCCTGGGAAATCTACAGGGGAGAACCGCTATCAAGGAGGCCTGGCTCAAAGGACCTAAAACCTGGGCCTCCTGCTATGAAAGTCCTTTGCATCCAGTGATGTTATTCTGATAGGTCACATAGTTATTAACATATTGGCACTTTTTTTTTTAAATTTTCAGATTTCCTTGGACCCTTCGGCCCTTCTAGTTAATTAAACTCACATCCTTGCCAGCATTAAAATAGGTCACCTATCAAAATGCTCAGAGAGGTGGTGGCACAAGGCAGGAGGGCAGGGAAGGAAGTGTTTGGTAATGTCCCCAGTATCCGGGCCTCTGTGCCTTCTCCACCTTGCCCCTCCCACCTTGCAGAGCCATGGCCTGGTCAGGAGGAGATACCTTGTGCACTGCACGTTGCTGCATGACAGCTGCCACAGGGGGCACTCTGGACACCCTGCTCCACAGACTTTGCTTCCTTCTAGAAAATGCTTTTAGTCATTCTCACCCCTGTCAAGCACGTTGCTCCACTGGGACACATAAGGACACAAGATTCCACAGGGGCTCCCCAGGGTTAGCTGCAGCTCCTTGCCATTCTGCCCACGGAGGCTCCTCTAGTCTTGTGCCCAAGAAGGAGAAGCAAGATGAGGTGGCAGCAGCCAGTCCACAGAGGGAGAACACGCTAGAACCTCGGAGGGATCTTCTGATGCCCTCTTCCTCCACTGTAGGCTCAGCGACATCATGGGCTCAGCAATTGTGCAGTTCTGGCTTGATTTACCCCACATCCTACCCCCTGCTCCCCAGATAGCATGCAAGGGCTTCACCCACAGCTTTGGGACAGCATGAAAGAATCACCAGGCTGTGCTTCCTGGTGGGGGTCGGGGGAGCAGAGGATGCCTGTCTACCTTCCTTTTTTCTTTCTTTCTTTCTTTCTTTCTTTCTTTCTTTCTTTCTTTCTTTCTTTCTTTCTTTCTTTCTCCTTTCTTCCTTTCTTCCTCTCTGTCCTTTCTTCCTTCTTTCCTTCCTTTCTTTTTTTTTTTTTTTTTTTTTGAGACAGGATCTTGCTATATAGTCCTGGGTGGCCTTGAACTTGTGGCAATGCTCCTGCCTCAGCCTCCTGAGTGCTGGGATTACAGGTGTGTGCTACCATGCCTGCCCAGAGGATGCCTTTCTGTCTTTTCCCAACTTTCATTTTGTCCTCTCTGTGTCTGGACACCTGCATGGGAGAATGGCCCCATTAAACAGAGGGCTTTGAGGGACCCCACCTGTTCTGCCATTTCTCAGCACCCACAGAAATCGGGAGCACTGCTGTTGAAAACTCCCCATCCTCCCAGTGTCTGCTCTCTCTGGAAGCTGCAGCTCTCTCCAGACTGAACACATACTCCATCATGTGCCCCAAAGAGGACATCTGGCATGTAGGGCCAGAAATGCACTCTCACCCCCCCACCCATGCCTGCTCAGGCAAATTCAGCCCATGCTGGCTAGTTCCTTTGGGGAACAGGCCAGGGCAAGGAGTGAAAAGTAAATGTGCTTCTTGACCCCAAAGGGGTCATGACAGGGCACCCCACTAAATGAATGGTTTCTATGTCCTTCTGAAGTCCTTTACACTTCTTTGGCCTGATTTAATTTAAATTTCACATTTTAAAACAAATGTGAAAGAGATGAGAGGATCAATGAGCGACCAGAGGAATTACTATCTAGTACCTGCAACAAGCTCTTTACAAATAACCATAAAGTTCGAGGTGATAAGGGCCTGAAGAGGAAAATTAGAAAGTATCTGGGTGCTCAGAGGAGGGCTGGTGGGCAGAGTTCCCCACAAGGGAGAGGGGTGCTGAAAGGTGGCTGTGATAAGACCCAAGTCAAATGGGGAGGGTGACCTGACAGCAGAGGACATGAGAAAGGGCCAGTTTTTCTATATTCAAGCTAGATCTAGAGTACTGACCCCAAATGCTCCCTGCTTTTCAAGCACCTTGCCCGCCATGATGACCATAGTCGACTGGTTGTCTGAACAACTGATTCTAAAGCAGAGAAGACACATGAACCCCTAGGCAGAAGGCAGAGTGTGGGGCCCTGGGCTTAGCAGGAGGCTGGTTCCTGATGGATTTGCATCCTCTGCAATCCACTGAGCCACTGGAACAGCTACTTTGATGGTTCCATAGGAGCCTTCTGGATTTGCATGTCAGAGTCCCATGTTCCCAGATGCACAGTTCTGCTAAGAACCTATGGATCGCAGGAGCACACAGCCCCTACAGCCCCAACCAGAGCCCTGGCCACTCTCACTTTTCTAATTAATCTAATTAAGTCTGGAAGAAGCTTCAGCTAAGCACCAACCTCACTTGGACCTTTCCCCTTAACCTCCTGCGCAGTCTGATTCAGCCAAGATGGCACCTAAGTTCCATTCCAGCAAAGGCAATAGGGCCAGCAGAGAAAGACACTTATAATGTATCGTTAATGAAACATTTCACTCTCTACTGCTTTTACTTATTCTCTTTCTCAAATTCTTCTTGTAAGTTTTTTGTTGCACCTGGAATCAAACTCAGGACCTTGTGCTTGCAGGCAGGCGCTGTGCCGCCGAGCTACATCCTTGGCTCTTGCTCTTACTTATTAAAAAGGCAATTCAGGCTTATTTCTCAAAAGTCAAAAAGACCAAAGGGGTGTGGGGAATTGAGAGATGGTGGCCAACGGGTATAAACTTTCAGTTACAAAATGAATGTCCGGAGCCCTAGTAAACAGGCTCATGACAATAGTTAATGATAATGATGTACGTGAAATTTGCTAAAATTTGTTATTTTACTAACACATACAAGTGCATATTTATGGAGAGAGGTAGGTGTATTCTTAAGATGTGGTCTTACCACATACCCCCATAAAGGAAACTCTGGGTGGGAATGGTGATGGGGTGATACCTGAAAACACTTTACTGGAGATTCTCCTATGGAACCCCCAGTAGTCTCACCCAAACTCCCTACCACTCATTGACAAGCCCTGCAGCAGACACACAAAACCAAAGGCTACTTCCGACCTGACAGCCAGTCTGAGGCTGGCATGGAGTAGATGCTTGGGACAACTTGTTGAGTGAATGAGTGACAGAGAAACGGGGTGAGAAAGTATACCCAGGACACACACAGGATGCCCAGGGACTTCCCGAATTGTGGTGAGTGCCGCTCCAGACCAGCTGGAAGTACAGGAGAACCAGCATTCTCACACCAGAACAGCGGAGAGAGCCACAGAACCCTTGCGTGTCACTTCCTTGCGCTTCTCATTCGCCCCAGGGCAGATGGCATGGGAGACACACGCTGCACTTCTGCAATAGTTCTAAGGGGTTACAGAGTTGTTTTTCGATTTAGGTGAAATTCGTTTGACAAAATTAACCACTTTAAATGAATTCAATGGCATTCACTTCATTCACCTCTATCTAGTTCTAAAACACTTTCCTCCCAGCAGAAGGGGATCCCATTTTTAAAGCAGTTACATTTCACCCAGTCTCCCCACCCCGACTGCCTGCCTTTGGTTTCTATGGATTTACCCATTTTATATAAATAGAATCATACAGCCCATGACCTTTTGTGTCTATTTTCTTCACCTTAACGTTTTTGACGTTTGTCTACATTGTAGCATGTAGTAGAATCTCATCCCTTTGTGGCTGAGCAATATTCCAATATATGGGTTACATCCCAATTCGTTACTCATTCATCTGTGGGTGCGTGTTTGGGCTGTTTCCACCTTCTGGCTGCTGTAAACGGTGTTGCTATTAACACTTGTGTACTAGAATTTGGGTATCTATTTTCATTTCTTTTGGTTATAGGCCCAGGAATGGACTTGCTGGAGCAATTACAGAGCTTTTAGCACTGGAATGAACTTAAAGGTTATCCCAGTTTTACAGGTAGGGAAACTGAGGCCTGGTAGAATATCCGCTCCGCTAAGGGTCACAGACGCCCAAGCATCAGCGGTTTTTAAAAATTCAACCATAGATAGATCATTACTCACTGTACTCACTGATGCTCAGCAAGTGTCTCTTGAACACAGCAGGCACCAGATATGTGCAGAGTGAGGGAAAGAAAGTGAATATTTGCACCTAGTTTTTAAAGTATTACTCACTCTGAAGATAGAGGTGCCAGTTACCTCACCTCAGAGGATCCAAGAATCCTGCGGCAGAAGGGTAAGGGTAAATAGGCTCAAAGGAATTGGGCTCGTCTCTTTGTGTATGTTTCTTGCTGCTCCATTTCCTAACGATTTTTTCTTGGCTACGTCAACCCAAGCAGAGGGAAGTGGGCTGGGCCCACGAAGAGAAGGCAGCCAGACTCCTACCAGGACCCATGCTTACGCCAAAGTGGCCTTTGATAGACCAGCTGTACTACTGGGCTCTCTTGGCACCAATTATTGCACTTTGTAGGGCACGATGTGGTCCCCCATTGTCTCTTGCACATGGGGCTGAGAGAAGGGGCTGTGACTCTCCTCCAAGCAGACCAAACAAGGGCACCCTGGTGGTAAGAAAGCTCATCCATGGGCCACTGGACAGCTGTGCAGGGTCTACAGGGCTCTTATGGCAGCAGAGTGAGGCTGTCATAAAGACTCAGCTGTCCCTCAGGAGTGGGGAAGAGATGTCAGGGTATTATATAGCTCAGTATTCTCACAATGAAACTGCTAGGTGGGTATGGGCCCATTTTATAGATGAGAAAACAGAGGCACAGGGAGCTAATTTACTCACCCAGAGCTGGCTGATACACATTTTCTACTGCCCCTCCTGCAGAAAGGCCCTGGTGCTGGAAACTGCTGAGGAAATGTCAGGCCTAGTGCTCTGGATTTGAATTTCACAAACTTTTAAAGTCTTTTTTCTCCCTGAACACCAACGTTTCTAAAATGAAAATGCAGGCCTTGGTAGACAAAAGCAGTGTTTCTCAAGATTTTTCCAATTGTAACCCATTGTAACATTTTTCTTCACAACCAAGATATTAATTTCTGTGAGTAAATCTGAAATAAGTTTCACTGAACAACTTTATTCTAACTGCATATGATGCACTGTAATATTTTCTCTTCTATTCTAATTTCTTCTTTATCTTTTTAAGCTGGTGGTGTGACCTACAAGGATGATCATGCAGCCTACAGTAGGGCACCATTTATATTTTGAAAAACATTGCCTTAAATGATTGGCTTCTAAGCTGCTCTTCACAGCTCACAGAGGAGGAGCTGCTACTGATGCTGACTAAAGTTCTATAATCCTCTCTGCTGCAGACCAGCTCTCCTCCTGCTGTCTTCCCCCGTCTTCTCATTGTAGCCCCTATGCCTGGGCCCCACACTCCCGGCACCACCACAGAGGAAGGGGGCCAAGCAAAGACACTTCCCTCCCCTGAAGGATACGTGAGTGCCAGGAAGAGGGACAGAGCAGCCTGCTGCAGATTTTTGTCTCTGACCCTACAACAGGTCTTGTTCTGTAGGCCATTTCTTCAGACATGGAAATCTCTCTCTATGACTGGATTCATCGTAACAGGTCTTTACTGCCCACTGAGTCACAAAAACAATTCAGAGCCCTGAAAAACACAAAATTAAAGAATTTTCCGTCTGCAAATGTTGCCTCTGTAAGGAAATCCTTTTGTTTCTTCTGATGAGGAGGTTATAAAGAGCCTTATTTTAATGACCCATATTAGGACCTTATTTTTCCTTCTTATCTTATCATAGAGAAAGGCAGCCCTGCTGTGGGTAAATAGTGGGGACCCCAAATCTCACACAGCCTGCAGTGGGTCATGTTGGCTGAAGCAGACCTTTAAGCATAACCTGAGGCAGTCTCTCCAGGGTCATTACAGGGATGGCCTCCTGCTCCCTTCCTGCCAACTGGCTGTGCAAAGTCTCTATACCCAAGGAGTTTCTGGAACCTTCTGTGAGTGTGAGGTCTCTTCTGCACCTGGCTTCCTTGTTCACTGCCCCTGGGTGGAAGTCCCACTGTTCTGAAGGATG